TTTCGCCACCAATAATGTGGCTTCCTCAACCGGGTAGAATAATTCTGGTGGTAACACATGCTTTTTCTGTCAGAATTATTCTACCCGGTTGAGGAAGCCACATTATATTGCTATATGTGACCAACACTATGTTAAATTATCTTTTGTAGATATCCGCACATATTAAGTGTATAAGGGGAAATCCTCCGTCCAATTTAAACCAAAGGTGATTTATTTATTTATTATTAGAGCGCTACATTCGTTTTGGTTTTGTATTTGATATTGGTGATATAAGGGATCGCTTGAATGTATAGCAGCTGATTATTTAAAAGCAGATATATTGTGATCTACTTCTATTTTATTTAAAAAGCGCTGGTACTTATTTTACTATTTTTTACATGAAACAGGGCAGTTATTTTGTGCAGCGTATAACGGAGCTCCCTGTACTCCGACCGAGTACCCTCCATTGACGGATGCTCCTAGCGCTTCCTGAGGACTCCAAGCACTGCAGCAGACACCACAACCACCGCAGACTCCGCAACCGCCGTCTCTTGACTGGAGTCTCGCCGTCTTCCTTCCACCCTGGATCAGCTTCTGTCCTCCAGGACTGTGTGGGAAAGAACTCTCCCTTCCACCCTGTATGAACCTCCAGCATCCAGGACTGTGCGGTGAAGACCCCTCCTCCAAGGAGAGCGTGTCAAGAACAAGCTCTTAAAAGAGCTAAGTGATTCAAGCTCAGGGGAGCATGCAGAGCATAGCAATCCCCAGTGTGATTATAACAGCTCCCTCCAATAACGAGACAAGGCTACGTTTAGAGGGATCAAGAAGAACTGTCAAAACCTTTATTCCCTTGGGACCAGCCAATACAGTCACCACAATAACATTGTTGTGAAACCTCAATAAAATCACAAACAGTCAAACCATATCAAGAAACACACAGTGACTTATCACAACACAATGGCACATTTTTAAAGGGGTGGGGGGAGACAATATTTAACAGTAAATATCTCACCTGCCTGCAGAATTAGCAATATGCAAATCTACCCGAATATGCAAATGAACCAGTCTTGCAATTCAGGTAGTGCATATTGCTGTTGCTACCAACAGAGGGCACTAGACAAGCTCCATAGCCAAACCCACCTAGTTGGTAGCAAACCTCAGCAGTACAGGAGAGAAGGCAATACATTTCACAGTACACACACACACTATAAACAATTACATTACACACACCCTGCACCTATAATGGGTACAGGGTGACTAAAACATAAGATAAATAAAGCAGCCTACATAAATAGTCTGTCTGAAGGTAGAATAGGGGCTTTAAAGGCAAATACATCAAAGAGTCATAGTCACAGGGGAGGAGGCTGGCAAGCAGGCCTCTCCAGTACCAAGTGGCGAAGGGCACTTCGTCACATATCTCCCCTTCGGGGGGAAGACTAACCAGGCACCTGACTTTCTGTCGGTCAGTGCCTAAGTTAGTCGATTCACCCACCGACCATAAGCAAGTGCCAGAGTAGCCCACCCACAACAAACAGTTATTAGAGCAGCCCACCCACAGCAAACAGTGACTGCACCTGGGTATTCCTCTGGGGTGATGGGGCAACACGCTGTGGGGACTTGAGGGGCAGAGACCAGCGGCGCTCTGCCCTGATGCCTGCACTTCTGCTGGGGAGAGGGGGTTGCAGACCAGTCCTGTAACAAGGGGGTCGGTAGGGCAGAGGCCAGCGGCGCTCTGCCCTGATGTCAGCTCTTCCGCTGGGGTAGCCGGCAGAATGTCACGCTCTGTACAAGGGACACAGGGAGGGCAGAGGCCGACTGCACTCTGCCCAGCTGCCAGCTCTTCCGCTGGTATAGCCTGCAGGACATCAGGCTCTGGACAAGGGACAAAGGGAGGGCAGAGGCTGACTGCACTCTGCCCAGCTGCCAGCTCTTCCGCTGGGGTGCTGGGAACATAGTCCGGCTCAGTAGCAAGGGGAACATGGGAGTCAGTGGGGGTTAACATCTCCTCTGTTAACCCTGGGGCCAAGTTAGGAGTCAGCTGGGGAGGGGAATTCGTACTTACCCCCTCTTCCTGTTGTCATTGTGAGGGTAGTTGGGGATCTGGACAGGCTGTCCAGCATCCCTGTAGGTCAGGCACAGAGACCACGGTCCCATCTGCGCCATCTGGGAGATTGGTGTCTCCCCTTGGTGGGGTAAGCTGCTGCTGGGGAGATAGGGTGCTGTGCTCCTCTCCCTGAAACACAGGCTGCCGCTGGAGAGGGAGACCGCCTGTCTCCACTCCCATAACAATGTCCTGCTGCTGGAGAGAGAGACCAACTGTCTCTGCTCCCTGTAGGACACACTGCTGCTGTTGCGGGGGAAGGACGACACCTTCGGCCCCCTGGAATTCGCACTGCCGCTGGGGAGGAAGGACGACACCTTCGGCTCCCTGTAACTTGCACTGCCGCTGGAGACTAGGTGTCCATATCCTCAACCTCCACAGTTGTCGCTCAAAGGCCATTGCCGCACTGTTCTCAGCACTCAACTGGCGCATTACTTGGTGGACCACCTCGTTCGAAAGGTCTGGGCCATAGCAGACCAACCGCCTCTTTACCTCCTCAATGTAAGCGTCGTCCTCGTAGCGACGTATCATGTTGAGGTGCTCTTCGCAGGGCTCTATCCATCCCTGCTCCATGCTGCTGTAGTTAGGGATGCTGCACAGTGGCTAGCGTTGCCCTCAATAACCTCTCATACAATACCAGTGTCTCCGAGCTGCTTCTCCTCGCACTAGGACGCCATCCCACCGCTGCCACCAATATAACGGAGCTCCCTGTACTCCAACCGAGTACCCTCCGTTGACGGATGCTCCTAGCGCTTCCTGAGGACTCCAAGCACTGCAGCAGACACCACAACCACCGCAGACTCCGCAACCGCCATCTTCCTTCCACCCTGGATCAGCTTCTGTCCTCCAGGACTGTGTGGGAAAGAACTCTCCCTTCCACCCTGTATGAACCTCCAGCAACCAGGACTGTGCGGTGAAGACCCCTCCTCCAAGGAGAGCGTGTCAAGAACAAGCTCTTAAAAGAGCTAAGTGATTCAAGCTCAGGGGAGCATGCAGAGCATAGCAATCCCCAGTGTGATTATAACAGCTCCCTCCAATAACGAGACAAGGCTACGTTTAGAGGGATCAAGAAGAACTGTCAAAACCTTTATTCCCTTGGGACCAGCCAATACAGTCACCACAATAACATTGTTGTGAAACCTCAATAAAATCACAAACAGTCAAACCATATCAAGAAACACACAGTGACTTATCACAACACAATGGCACATTTTTAAAGGGGTGGGGGGAGACAATATTTAACAGTAAATATCTCACCTGCCTGCAGAATTAGCAATATGCAAATCTACCCGAATATGCAAATGAACCAGTCTTGCAATTCAGGTAGTGCATATTGCTGTTGCTACCAACAGAGGGCACTAGACAAGCTCCATAGCCAAACCCACCTAGTTGGTAGCAAACCTCAGCAGTACAGGAGAGAAGGCAATACATTTCACAGTACACACACACACTATAAACAATTACATTACACACACCCTGCACCTATAATGGGTACAGGGTGACTAAAACATAAGATAAATAAAGCAGCCTACATAAATAGTCTGTCTGAAGGTAGAATAGGGGCTTTAAAGGCAAATACATCAAAGAGTCATAGTCACAGGGGAGGAGGCTGGCAAGCAGGCCTCTCCAATACCAAGTGGCGAAGGGCACTTCGTCACACAGCGTTTGTGTCGTTTTGTGCCGTTTAAATCTTCGTTCTATCTCATTTCATTTTTGAGTTATTAACAATTTAATAAAGGCCTCCAAAGGTCACCCAGCCCTCCTACAACACCCAAAACAGATGAAACTTGGCTGGTTGGTTAATGCTGTATTTGGGCCAGTTTGTGCCATTAGCATTTTTATTTGTGTTGTTTTTTGTTATAACAGTTTATTGTTTTACGGGGAAAATGATGTAACCCTCCATGGAATTGGACTCAGCTGTGTAAAGCTGGCACCCCATGTTTTATATATATATATATATTTAAACGCCGCCCACTGCGCACCACACATTATTACATTTTAAAAACAAATATACCATTCGTTTGCTGATTTGTGTTGCAAAATTGTGTTTTTGGAAATATTGAGCATTATATTTGATCAAACCCCACCCACTTTGCAATCCATGTTATTACATTTTAAAAGCAAATATACAATTTTTTACATTTGTGGCAATTTTGTTTTGGAGATATTAAGCAATATTTATGATCAAACTCTGTCCACTTGCTGTGCATTCGCATTAGGTCCCTCCATCAGATGACGTCAGAGTAGGCAAAGCACTGACCCAGCATAGAGGGTCATTTAACCCTTTATGTGCCACTTGGGGAGAGGGGGCAGGGTGGCATGGAGGGGGACACCAGGGGGCATTATAGTGTTAGGAATACTTTATATTCCTAATATTATAGAATCCCTTTAACCCCAAATGTTGCCTCCATCGACGATCTCCAGGTCCCCCAGGTGGCATCTGGCTTCTGAATCTGAGTTACAGGAAGTGCAGGGACGCCTTGGTTGGTTAGAGCGACCAGCGACACTCATAACCAATATGTAGCTCCCCATTCTTTAAAAAGGTACATATAATTTTTATGAATGGGGAGCTGCTGAACGTTGAGCAAATTAAAGGTGAAATAAGACAAGAAAAGGCATGTGTTACCACCAGCTCCACTGCAATACTTATACAAAGTTAGCGCTATATATTATGAGCGAGACTAAAGTGACACTTTTTCTCAACCAATCAATACCGTCCAACTGAAAATTAAATTTTGTGACAGACAGCTGAACAATGTTACAATGCTGATAACACAAATGTAAGGTCTAAAAAATAACCTGTAATAACACACAATATACTAGTATACACATGGCATACACACTCTCAATGACAGACTCAAACTCTCACTGACAGACACACACATACTCTCAATGAGAGACGCAAAATCTCACTGACAGACACACACTCTCTCAATGACAGACACAAAATCTCACTGCCAGGCACACACACATACTCTCAATGACAGACACACACACTTACTGACAGGCACACAATCACTGGCAGACACACGCTCTCAATGACAGACACACTCACATACTCTCAATGACAGACACAAAATCTCACTGACAGACAAAATCTCACTGACAGACATGCTGACACACACTCTCAATGACAGGCTCAACATTTCACTGACAGACACACACACATGCTCTCAATGACAGACACACACACTTACTGACAGGCACACACTCACTGGCAGACACACGCTCAATGACAGACACACTCACATACTCTCAATGACACACACAAAATCTCACTGACAGACACATACTCATAATGACAGACAAAATCTCACAGACAGACACACTCACATACTCTCAATGACAGACACAAAATCTCACTGACAGACACACACATACTCTCAATGACAGACACACACTCACTGGCAGACACAATGACACTGTAGATACTAATATCCATTTTGCTTAATATCCTAGCTGTTCATATAAGGGTTAATGTGAACCAAGAATAAATTTGGAATTGTATCTTCGATTCTGGGAAGAATTTATCTAATATCGTTTACGAGAATGACCATACTGATTTCGAAATGTTCTTGTTAATTGTCCAAGATTTTGGTATTTGGAAATATCTTGTTTTGATCAAATATACACGCGTTATATAACGTAGAATTATAATAAGAAACAGCTGTTTATAACTTGTGAAAAACAATGTCATTGTCACACCCATATGCTCATTTTTCCCCCTCCCATCCTGCTATGAAAACAGGGTATTAATATAACTGACGGATGAATAAAATTTGAATTGGTTATTGAACACGTCTCTGGTATTCATTTCCAATTTCAAGAGCTATGAATGAGTTGGCAAATATCCATCATCCACAAAGGGCCCGGGCTGATTTTATCCCCAACAGACACACTCAATGACAGACACATACTCTCAATAACAGACACACACTCTCCCTGATTTTAAACACTGGCCGACACACACACACACTCTTGTACACACACTCACAAATTAATGTTATATTGTGGCGGAACCTACCGCCAATTTTGTATACTTTCCCCTGTTCGTGTGTTGTTCCCTTTTTCCATTCAGGGGTTATTATATATGTAGCTAGATAGAGGACCTAACTACACTTTTATTCCCTTTGTTCCACTGTCCGTACCCTCTTTGTTCGTTTACTTTGTGGGGTCCCCTTGTTCGCAAAATCATGTTTGGGCTTGATTGGAGGATTGTGCTTGTCCCATTCTAAATTTAATAAAGATGAGGCTTGATTATTAATCTCTCGGTAAGTATTGGTGTCTCTTTTGGATATGATATTGGAACACAAGGCTTTTTCTTGAAAGCTAATGACCATTCATATCAAAGGACTCCTTATCTAAGAGAGAATCAAGACATATGGCAAATGAGAGAGTTAGTTTATTCTGAAATCAGATTTCTAGGCCACTTATGTGTGACTTCTCACACCTTACAGAGAAGCTCTGCTGGGGTCCCAGCTTCAAAGAGGAATTTAGGTTGTAAGCTCTGACCTCACATACAATCAAATTAACTCCTTTTGAAATTGACAATACCACCTCTATCAGGCAGCCAGTTCATATATGCACTACACACATTACATTAAATGGAAATATTCTATAGTGCAACAATCAGGTCCGGCGCTTCCTATTAAGCGAAATAGGCAGCCGCCCTGTGCCCCCATTGCCGGCCCTTCTAATTCTGCAGCACTGCCTCTCTCCTCACCTCACCTCCACTTCCCCTTTCCTGTAGCAGTGGCCGAGCTCATCTCCGGTCCGCGGTACAGGAAAAGGAAATGCACACTCATATTTTGCTCATGTTTATTTAAAGGTTTAATATTCTTTATTTCTTTCATAACCAATAATTCAAATGATTTTATTTCATCGAAGATGATGTGTTTGGGGAAAAAATTTGATTTAGTTTTTAGGTCTGTAGATTATTTAGATTATTTAGAATATTAAACCTTTAAATAAACATCCGCAAAATATGTCTATTAGGGGAAAAAAAGCAGTGAAGGACCTTAGAGAAAATAAAAAACTAATTATCAAACCAGCAGACAAAGGGGGAGGAATAGTAGTCATCCCAAAAGAAAAATACACAAAGGAAGCAGAGAGAATTCTCTCGAACCAACTCACATATCAGAAATTAGATAGAAACCCAATAGAGAATATATCAAAGAGAAATTTGAAAATTATATTAAGAAGGGTCTTGAAAAAGGAATTTTAACAACAAATGAAGCCCAATATTTATCTACCCCACATCCAATAACGCCAGTCTGTTATCACCTCCCCAAAGTACATAAGAATAAGGAAAATCCACCAGGCAGACCTATCATATTGGGCATAGACTCGATTTCTGCCAAAGTATCCGAATATTTAGATAATTTGCTACAACCAGTAGTAGTACGCAACCCAGCATATCTGAAGGATACTGTAACGGCACCCCCAGCATAAAAGGGTTAAACCGCCGTTTAGTAGATCTTCCCTTCCAGAGACACAGGCACAGCTACTGCAGAACACCAATCCGCCGAACAGGAAACCATGTGAATGCAGTAAACAGCCGAATAGGAAAAACCATACAAATAGGTTTACACTCCTAGCAGTCAAACTGGAACAGCATACAATAAATCCCCCCAAGAACGAGACAAAGCTCCGTGTTGAGGGTCAAGCAGTGAACAGACAGAGCTGTGGGTTTATTGTTCTTATATACACATTAGTACCACCCACAGGGTTTTGGACACTCCCACACAAAATCCTCCCCTCTGCCTGTGATACAATTACCTTACACAATGGGTAATGTAATTATCACAAGCAGAGAAATACAATTTTTCCACATTATTCATAACTTGAAAAGTATGCATCACATTCACATTTTCAGAATCAGCATACTCCAAATACAAACATATGTCAAAATCATCCAAATTGGTCCAGTGGTTCAAAAGATAGATCGTAGTCCTTTGTGACCAAAGGAAGCATGGCTTTTCTGCCCAAAACCAGTTCCACAGAGTCTTCTATCCTGGAGATAATTGGGAAGTAATCCAATTATCTCCAAGGACAGAGGCAAAACTCCATTAAGCACATGGCAGTAAAAAGACAGTAAAATACAATAAAACATACAAGGTTACATTTATTACATAAAATACAGACATGCAACATATCCCCAGATAGCTTAGGTCTGAGCACACATTATTACTGAATGGGGCTCAGACCACACACATACAGTTCAATTGCCATGGAGCCAAAGTCTTTCCCATAGTTTTTCATTATACGAATGGGCTCCATGGCATAGCTATTTGGAATATCACCGCTCAAACAGAGCAAGCACCGAATGACCCGGCTTTCATGTCTTTGCAGGGGAAAATCAAGCGTTTCAGCATGGGGCCATAGTCTAAAGGCAGCAGGTGGGCAACCAGGCTCCTCCAATGCACAGTGGCTGAAGTTGTGAGGCAGGCTTCTAGGGGCGGCCCGGTCGGGTTGTGGCAGGTTAGTTGTTGCGGTTACCGCCATTTTCATGCTGGGATGCTTGGTTGTGTTTTGATGAGCAGCGTGGGAGCGTCGCGAGCGCGGTCGTGTGGTCCGCCATTATCGGGCCCTCTTCACCTTGAGTAGCTTGGGTCTGCCACTGGGTCGTGGAGGTGCCTTGCAAGGTAAGTGTTCTTTCTTATCTTGTGCCTGAGCCTGTTGTTGCCTGAGTTCCAGTTTTTCCCAGAAGGCAGTGAACAGTTAATTCAGTTTAGCTTCGAGGTCCCAGCTTGTGTGAGAGCACGTGGCGTCCACCATTTTCAACTTCTCTCCGGCTAGATGGCGCTCGTTTATTGCCTGTTCTTGTTTCTTGTGGAACAGAGTTGCCTCCCTGGAGTGGACCGGGATCACCCCCACCGGTCCTGGGGGGAGAGGTATACTTTCGCTGAGTTTGTGCCGCTGGCGTCGGGACGAGGAGAACGGCTGCCTCTCCCCATCTTCGTCGTTCTCAGGCTCCTAATGTCGGAACCGCTCAAGTCGGGTATCACGGGGTACTCCAGCTCTACCCTGTTTTAGGTAGAGCAGTTTGGTGTGTGTTTAAGCTGTGCAATTTGATTTGTGGCGGGAAATCTCCTGAGATGAGCGGGAGCCCTGCTGACATGTGACTGTTCGTCTTGCAGGTCAGGCTCCGCCCCCTCGGAATTCAGCTAATTTTAACTAACAATTTCTTCTGGTTTCAAGACATTTTATTTACAGGTGAGGTGAACGGCGATGGGCACCAAGTTCACCCCAAGTTATGCCAATCTATTCATGGCTTATTGGGAAGAACAGTTTGTCTACCAGGGACACCAGGTGGAGCGAGCTTAGTGTGCTATCGCCTTTTTATTGACTATATATTTTTTATTTGGACAGGTACCAATTCAGAATTAGACACCTTTTTAATACACCTGAACAATAATGATTGGAATATCGTTTTATCTTCACAAATAAATACTGAAGAAGTTAATTTCCTAGATCTAAACATCAATATAAAGAAATCACGCATCACTACTAGAAATCATTTCAAAGAAGTGGATGCGAATGGATACATCAAAAAAGAAAGCTGCCATCATACTCCTTGGCTTACTAATGCCCCTAGAGGACAATTCTTAAGAATGAGACGGAATTGTGCAGAGGACCAGGATTACTTAATACAGGCATGTAAAATTAAAGCTCAATTTTTAGGAAAAGGATACAACAAGGAGAAATTGCAATCTGCTTTAGAAGAAGTTCTCACTATACCAAGGAAAAACTTACCTACATACAAACAAAAGAAAAATGGGACAAGAACGACATCCCATTCATTTGTAATTGTAATGGAAACAATAAAAAGGTAAACAAAATTATTAATAAATATTGGCACATCCTACAGGATGATCTTATCCTTAAAGCCATATTACCAGCGAAACCAAGGATAATTTATAGAGGGGCAAGAAATCTTAGGAACACCTTAGTACAGAGTAGTTCAAAAGATATAATCTCCACAAGTAACTTTTTAAATCAAAGCAAGGGTTTTTATGGATGTGGCCAATGTCTGGTCTGTAGAACAAATAAAAAACAAAAAGAGACAAATATTGGATATGGAACCTCATATCAATAGAACATTTCTAATTAAAGACCATATGAAATGTTATTTCAAAGGAATAATTTATCTCCTAAAGTGCCCGTGTAATCTCCTATATATAGGTAGAACAATCCGCTGCTTAAATGTAAGGATAGCAGAGCATGCAAGGAATATTAAAAAAGGACTGGAGACACACAGTGTATCCAATTACTTAAAATTGGTTCACAACCAAAATCCAGAAGGATTATTTTTTTTGTGCTATTAAATTAGTCAAGAAAGATTGGAGAGGAGGGATATTACACTAAAAAGATCGGGATGGAGGAGATGAAATTTATCTTTAATACTATGATCCCTCAAGGCTTAAATCAAGACTTTGAACTATGCCACTTTATGACCTAATCTTTTCCATTTTAATTTTTTAATTCTTCTTTTATTTATTTTTATGCACATGTAGCACTTTTAGATTTTAGAAATATTTCTGTTTAAAAAACACACACAGAGACCTATCGAAATCTATACAACTTCTTTCTGTCTTATCCTGTTTTTGCTTTTAATGATTATATGCATGTAACAGCACCTTTCCCTGTAAGAGGATATCTTATTGTATATTAACGTTTTGATCATGTATTTATGGACTCTATGTATTGAAGAACATTGCCCACTTCTTGTGGACAATAAAGTTTTAACAAATATTGAAACGCCACACTGGAACGCATAAGCAAAATTAGCACTGCTTGGACTTCGGGGAATAAAGCTTTCTACATGTCAAAAAGCCTGAATACTTGCGCAGTCCAATCTTGAACGTTCCGGAAATATTAGCACGATGACGCAAGACGCTGAAACGCACGTTGCAGTCCAATGTGCCGAAACCGGACACCGGAAGAACAAGACAAGCGGGACTTTTAAAAAAGAAGACAGACAACAAGAACTGAGGAAGCCCGTTTTTTGGGTGAAACGCATTTGGACATAATATTGAACTAAAGAGTTACCCAAAGATATCATACCTGGTACTTTTATTTTTACTAACTTATTTGTGAATTTTACTTAATAAAACAGCATCTTGGAAGATCTACTCTTGGTATCCTGCGTGCATACTTCTGGGACAACAGAGTTTGGGTAATATCAACCAGCCTGAAGGTCCAACAGTGTGTACCACAGGGAGACAACTTGAAGAAGGAGTTGGACATCCTATAAGTGTCCAACGGCGCTTATCATTTCAGTCATATGACACTATGACTCTCGACTTGTGAGTGATACTCCTTATGTTTATATATCACATTTTCTCTGTTACAACAATATTGCACTAATGCTTTGCATATTTATTTTCAGAGTTATATCGAATTTTACTCATTTTAAAAGCTCCACCTTATGTATGTATATGGTCTATATTTTATAGTAGGAGTGGTTTAGGGGATACCACTAAAAGTGTTTAGAGCTTTACACTTCTGTTTCCGCCATATTGTGCACTTATTTGGTCAATTTAGATATACAGAAATACAAGAATTATTTTTTTTTTTTAATAAAGAATAAATTAGGGCAATTGTTGAAGGGAAACATTTGATCGCTATCGGTTATCGAGGAAACAAACTAATCAAGCCGTATGAAAGCACCAATTCTGATCAATATTTTGTGTTGAGTAATGCAAATAATGGATACCCAATAGATTTTTGGAAAGATTAACCTAGAAAACAAAATTCAACACTAAATCAGACAGAAATCGAAGATAAAAAGGCTGATGTTGGAACGTAATGAAAAGACGTGTAGCAGTTCACAAACTAAAAACATCTTTATTTACTCCTCTCTTGGTATCTACTCCGTTGGCGGCCCAAGCCCTGACACTTCCTTCCTTCATGCCGAAGTTCAATTCACATAAATCCCATTTAATGTACCTACTTCAGATCATTGCTCACTTATTTTAATATACAAAATATCTACATATGTTACAGTATCTGACGTATGGTTACTGCTATGTTACAGTATCTGACGTATGGTTACTGCTATGTTACAGTATCTGACATAAGGTTACTGCTATGTTACAGTATCTGACGTAAGGTTACTGCTATGTTACAGTATCTGACATAAGGTTACTGCTATGTTACAGTATCTGACGTATGGTTACTGCTATGTTACAGTATCTGACATATGGTTACTGCTATGTTACAGTATCTGACGTATGGTTACTGCTATGTTACAGTATCTGACATAAGGTTACTGCTATGTTACAGTATCTGACATATGGTTACTGCTATGTTACAGTATCTGACATAAGGTTACTGCTATGTTACAGTATCTGACGTATGGTTACTGCTATGTTACAGTATCTGACATATGGTTACTGCTATGTTACAGTATCTGACATATGGTTACTGCTATGTTACAGTATCTGACATAAGGTTACTGCTATGTTACAGTATCTGACGTATGGTTACTGCTATGTTACAGTATCTGACATATGGTTACTGCTATGTTACAGTATCTGACGTATGGTTACTGCTATGTTACAGTATCTGACATAAGGTTACTGCTATGTTACAGTATCTGACGTATGGTTACTGCTATGTTACAGTATCTGACGTATGGTTACTGCTATGTTACAG